TGTTACCACAACCTTCAAAGAGACATATAGACAATAATACTATTTCACTCAAGTGTCTTCCTAAATACTAATACTCCTTTTTTGATCTTTGAATCAAAGTTATAGCAATAGACAAGACTTGTTTGCTTACATCACAAGACCTGAGCAAGCGCCTCCCCTCCTTTCCCTAACAATGCAGGCTGCATTTCACAGTTCTGTTTATTTACATATCTTCCTAACCAGTCTCTAAAGTTCGGCCATGGGTCAGGTCAGTCTGTGAGATAATTAATACTTTCTGGCCGTCAATGAGAGATTATATTACACTCATAATGTCATACCTGTGCAGCGCAGGAAAGCACAGGACCTGCGCAGGGCAGGGAGGCGCAGGAGATATGCCACATGGGGTGGTGCAGGATCTGTGCAGCGCACAGTGCGGCGTAGCCGGACAGGGAGCTCTGTGCAGCTGACACAGGGTGGCGCAGGACCCATGCGGCATGGGCAGGGAGGTGGCCAGACAGAGAGCTCTGTGTGGTTGATGCAGGGTGGCGTAGGACCTGGGCAGAGTGGGTACGGAGGAGCGCCGGGCAGGGCAGAGCGGCACAGGACCCGGGCAGGGTGGGTAGGGAGGAGCGCCGGGCAGGGCAGAGCGGCACAGGACCCGGGCAGGGTGGGTACGGAGGAGTGCCGGGCAGGGCAGAGCGGCACAGGACCCGGGCAGGGTGGGTAGGGAGGAGCACCGGGCAGGAAGCTCTGTGCAGTGCCGTGCATGGCCAGGCGCTCTCCCTTGTGGCTGCAGGTCGTGCTCACACTGTACGGGACAGAGGGACGGAGCGAGCCGCACTGCCTGCGGGACCCCCACAAGCCCGTGTTTGAACGCGGTGGGCTGGACGTCTTCCTTGTTACCACCCGCAGCTCCCTGGGGGAGCTGCACAACATCAGGCTTTGGCATGACAATTCTGGCTCCAGCCCCTCCTGGTAACGCCCGCTGAGTGAGCCAGGGCCCAGCGCACCCGTGGACATGCAAGGGGACGGGTGCTGCCTGGGGGCAGGGAGGGTGCTCCTTGGGGGAAGGGGAGAGGGTGCCAGGGGGCGAGGGAGGGGGCACCAGCTCCTGTTGTCAGGGGAGGAGAGACCCCTAGAGTGTGTCCCCCTGGGGCTGGGGCTGCATACATGGGCAGCAGGTGAGCCGCTGCCCCTTGCCCCAGGTACGTCAGGCAGGTGGTGGTCAGTGACGTGACAGCCAGGAGGAAGTGGCATTTCCTCTGCAGCACCTGGCTGGCTGCGGACCTGGGCGACTGCCAGCTCGATCAGGTCTTCCCAGCAGCCTCCAGGAGCGAGCTGCTCTCCTCCAGGTAAGCGCCCCAGAGCCCCAGCTCACTGCGCGCCCCGCGCCCACCCGCCCGCCCCCCACTGTGGGCAGCCACAGCCAAAGCAGGCCCGCACTGGCCGTGCTGGGCGGGGCAGGTTGCTCTGACTGCCTGGCACCCCCCTTTCTCTCAGGCATCTGTTCTGCTCGGCGCTTGTGGAGAAGGTGACACACGACCACCTGTGGCTGTCGGTGCTGACCCACTGCCCCTGGAACCCCTTCACACGGCTCCAGCGCCTGGCCTGCTGCCTGACACTCCTGCTTTGCACCATGGTCATCAACATCATGTTCTGGAGAGACCCGCCGGAGGCTGGCAACCAGGCGGCCCTGCAGCCAGGTGAGCCGGGACTCCCCCGCCAGGAGTCCCATAGCAGGTTGTGCGAACCCCATTCCTGCCTGGAGGCCCAGGGCACCTGCCTGCTCCAGGCCAGGGCACACTCAGCCTCAGCTGTCCGGAGTGCCCCGCGGGTGCCAGGTGCTGGGTGCCTCAGGGCAGCATGGACACCTGGGGGAGAGCCCGCCCCCCTGTGCCCTGCTCCAAAGGGCTGGACTGGAAGGTGAGGGCGTGGGGGGTTGCACTCAGGGCCATGCCCCTGTGGCCCCCCACAACAGCTGCCAACGCCCTGCCTCAGTTTCTCCCTGCGCTGCGCAGTCTCGCGTGCCCCACGCTGGGCTAACGGCCGTCTCTCCCTGCGGCAGGGCGCGTCCTGCTCACCTGGCAGGAGCTTGTTACCAGCGTGCAGACCGCGCTCATCCTGCTCCCTATAAACCTGGTTGTCGGGCACATCTTCCAGCTGGTCCCGCCGCAAGAACTGCCGCTGCCCCCCACAGGCGTCCGGCTCCCGCGGGCCTCTGCACCCCCCCGGGGGCCGTCCCCCCTCACACGCATCACGCAGGTGAGTGCAGAGCAAGGGGCTCCTTTCCGGCCCAGTGGGAGGGGTGGGAGTCTCTTCCTGGTCCCACAGCGCATGGGATGAGGGGCACAATATGGCAAAATGCTCTGGCTGGCCTAGGGGCAGCTGCGGGCCAGGGGGGAGCCATCGGGAGCTTCGGGATCAGGGCCCCTGCGAGCCAGGAACGGCTCAGGACTCACAGCTCCCCTGGCTCTTGGCAGCCTCCTGCCACCCGGCCCAGCCTGGCCCTGCTCCTTGGCCCTTGGTGATTGGATATGGACCAGCCATGAGGGAGGGCCGGCCCTGCCCCCATGGAGCGTGTGCGCCCAGGCCTGAGGCTGTGGTGCTGGGCAGGGCCAGCCATGTCCCTGGCGTTTGTCCCCATCCAGGAGCTGAAGGCGACGGTGGGGTTTCTGTCCAGGACCAAGGTCTGCCTGGAGCCCGAGGTTCTGCCCCAGGAGATGGACAGCGTCCCTGAGCTCGTGCATAGCCTCTGCTGCCTTGTTGGCTCTCACCTCCGGAGGTCCAGCCACAGGGGCGTGGAGCCAGCAGAGCCCTGCCTGGCTAACGGTACAGACACCAACGGCCTGCTCCTGGGAGCCACCCCGCCCCGCCCGCCTGGGCAGCCTTAGCCCTTGCTGGCTCGTCCATACTGGGCCTGGGCCACCCTACCAGCAGCCCCATGTGCCCACCCCCTGGGAGCCATCAGTGCCACTGCCAAGCCTGCTGTCTCCTGTGTGCCAAAGGGACAGGGATCCCCAAAAGGCCCAGGGCCCGGCCCAGAGCAGGGATGCTCGGGGGCTGCATCTGCTGAGCTCCCTCGGTAGCCCACAGGTCGTCAGTGCATGTGCCCATGGCGCCTCTGCCCGCTCTCGGAGCGCGCCCCTCAGGTGCCAGGCTCTCCCGCTGTCATTCTCTTAGGCCAGGCACTGGGCTATAGCCCCAGGGACCCAGCTGCTCCCGCCTGCGGCTCATCCCTTGGGGAGCCTGGGGTGGGGGGCAGGGACGGGACGGCTGACACCACAGCACGGAGGATTTTAGCTGTAGGCACAAAGCAATTAGAGCAGAGTTCTAAACCCAGCAGCCTACAACCCCGTTTCTCACCCAGCTGTTCACCATCCCTGATGGGCAGGACGAGCTTCTTCACGGCCCGTAGCAGGGCTCCCCCCTCTCCTGAGAACGGGCCAGCTCTAGCCCTTAGTTTGGGGGTGGCGGGGAGGGGCTTGCCTGCCCCGATCAAAACCCGTTTGCAGGTTGGCTGGAGGTGAGGCAACCCCCCCCACCCAAGCTAGCAGCTGGGTCTTGCCCCCCCCCCCGCAGGGTTTGCCATTCTCTGCTTCCTTGACTGTGCTTCCTGCCAGCCCAACACGCTCACCCAGTGTGCTCGCACCGCAGACCCCCCCCCGTGCGCTCACGCCGCACGATCCCCCCCAGTGTGCTTGCACCACAGACCCCTCAGTGCGCTCGCGCTGCAGACCTCCCCATGCGCTCGCACCGCAGACCCCCCCGTGCACTCTCACCGCAGACCCTCCCATGCGCTCACATCCCAGTGCCCCCCAGTGCGCTTGCACCACAGACCCACCCGTGCACTCGCACTGCAGACCCTCACAGTACGTTCACACCCTGGTGCCCCCCGTGTGCTTACTCCGCAGACCCCCCAGTGCGCTCGCACCCTGGTGTCCCCCCGTGTGCTCACGCCACAGACCCCCCAGTGCATCACAGACACCCCTGCAACCAGGCCAACAAAGAGAAGTCGAGATCGTCTCAGACCAGCTCCAAATCCATCCCAGCCCCTGGCAGGCTGGGAACTGGCATCGCCTGGGTGCAGCGGGGCACAGAGGCCTGGGGCAGGATGGAATCCAGCTCCCCGCAGGCTTGTAGCCATGAGCCCTCGCACCCCAGGGGGCTCCCAGGTTCAGGGCAGGCTCTGCACTGGGAACTGTATGGCCTGTGATGGGGGGCTGGCCTGGGGCGACAGGACTAACGCTGCCGCACCTGCTCTTTCAGACAGTCATCACCATCTCAGCAGCCACCTGCGCCATGTGCTGGGGCCTGTGCAGGCCCAGCTCCGAGCTCTGGACCTGAACAAGCTCTGCAATCCTCACGACTACCTCCAAGCGGCTGGCCGGCTCCAGAGCCTGCTGGAGCAGCTGGAGCAGCCAGGCCGGCGGCCGGAGCCTGGACCGGCCAGGTAGCCACGCACCAGCCTGCTGCTCTCCCTCAGCTGCCGGCAAGAGCGCGACTCACACCTAACCGCCCCTCCTCGTTCCAGGGGCGGGAGGAGCTTCCCCATCTCGGAGCCCCGGGTGCAGAAGGCCACCATCCCCTGCCGGCCCCCCCGAGAGGCTGCGTTCATCTGCTGGGTCACCGTGGCTGCCGCCAGCCTGGCCTCAGCCTACTTCACCGTCCTGCTCAGCCTGAAGCTGGACAGGCAGAGAGCCACCAGCTGGGTCATCTCCATGCTGCTCTCTCTCCTCCAGAACATCTTCATAATGCAGCCACTGAAGGTAAAGAGCTCAGTGCGGGAGCCCCGGAGAGAACTGGGTGAGAATCA